GATAAGAGGGAGATAGTAAACGAAATGGGACTGATAATTGAAAACCATCTGATCTCACCTATAAGTGGAACCTAATCAACAGAACAAACAAATGAGCAAAATAGAACCAGAAACTTGGAAATAAGAACAAACTGACAGGGACCAAAGGGGAATAATGAGGAATGAAGGGGAAGGGACAAACAAAAGAACACAAATAAAGGACTTATGGACAATGGGGGGTTGACTATGGGATTGCGGGGGGTGAGCAATGAGGAAAGAGGCAGGACAATTGTAACCAAACAACAATAAAAAAAAATTTTTTAAGCAACTGTTAGAAAAAACTAAGAAAGATGGGAAAAAAGAATGGCAACATGAAAAGAGAATGGATGAGACAAAGGAGACAGTAAATTAGGAGAGTCAAGAAGTGGAAGATCATAGTCAAAAATGAAAATATGATAAAATGTCCTGACTGGTGTATCTCAGTAGATTGAGTGCCAGCCTGCAAATCAAAGGGTCACCGGTTCAGTTCCCAGTCAGGGTACATGCCTGGGTTGCAGGCCAGGTCCCCAGTAGGGGGCATGTGAGAGACAACTACACATTGATGTTTCTCTCCCTCTCCTTCTCCCCCCCTTGCCCTCTAAAAATAAGTAAATAAAATCTTTAAAAACTATATGATGAAATAATTCAAGAACATGAAGATAGATGTAGCATTTTATGTTACTTTTTAAATTGTTTTTATATATAAATAATATATCCTGCCCAGATGGCTCAGTTGGTTGGAGCATCATTTTGTGCACCAAAATGTGTGTTCAATTTCTGATTAAGGCTACTTAGGCTGCAGGTTCAATCCCATTTCTCACATAGATCTGTCCATCTTCTCTCTCTTTCTCTCACAAATCAATGGAAATATCCTTAAGGAAGGATTGAAAGTTCTCAGTATCTCTGTCTTGAATTACATCATAATAAAATAGTCCATAATGAAATAATATAAAAATACATTTAAACTACTTCAAAGAAAGGTAAACCTAAAGTGGTAGTGGTATTAAGTTCCTAATCCTCTAAAATGTTGAACAAAAAAACCAGAAATCCAAAGATGTGCTTCTCTATATGAAGACTCATTAATATGTAAAAATCAAAGAAACACATGGAAAGATAAGGCTGGGCATTCCTGTATTTCTTCAAATAACTTTATTTACTTATTTTATAGACACAATGATTAATAAACATACGAGGGGTAGGGAATCCTAAACATTTTAAACAATCAAATCACACTGCATTAATTCAAAAAGAGGGATAGCTTATATAGTATTCAGAATTGTTTGAGTTTATTTCCTTACTATTTCACTTCCTCAAGAGTCTGAACATAAATGTTGCAATCATAATATTGGTTTGTAGCCTGATTAGTCATGGCTCATTTGATGAGCCAAATACCCCTGTGGTGCCTCCTGGGATAGGAGGCATCCATTTTTAATCTATGTTTAGCAGAGATAAATGGGACATAGTAATGAGGCAAGTCTCATAGAAAGGTGAATTTAAAATGTGGTTAGTCAACCAAATATAGATACTTAGCAAATCAATATTCTGGTTAAGGACATGAGTTTTAAAATCAAATAGATACAGATTTTGCCCCCAATTCGGCTGTTCATAGCTATGTAACCCTCATCCACTCCTTTTTCCCTCTTCTTTGCCTTCTCATTCCTCTTTTATTTTCTGACTTCTTTTATTCAAAAATATATATTGAGCATTTATTATTTCCTGGGTTCATGTCATAGACCAGTGGGCCAGTTATCTCACATTCCTGAGAGAGAACATGAAAAGCTTATAGGAAAGAAATTTGTGGTGCCAAGATAAAAAAAAATGGCCCAAATAAAAGAACAGATCAAAGCTCCAGAAAAAAAATATACAACTAAGTGATGAAGAGATAGCCAACCTATCAGATGCAAAGTTCAAAACACTGGTAATCAGGGTTCTCACAGAATTGGTTGAGTATGGTCACAAAATAGAGGAAAAAATGAAGGCTATGAAAAGTGAAATAAAGAAAAATGTACAGGGAACCAACAGTGATGGAAAGGAAACCAGGACTCAAATCAAAGGTTTGAGCCAGAAGGAAGAAATAAACATTCAACCAGAACAGAATGAAGAAACAAAAATTCCAAACAATGAGGAGAGGCTTAGGAACCTCCAGGGCAACTTTAAAAGTTCCAACATCTGAATTATAGGGGTACCAGAAAGAGAAGAGGAAGAGCAAGAAATTAAAAACTTATTTGAAAAAATAATGAAGAAGAACTTTCCCAATCTGGCAAAGAAAATAGACTTTCAGGAAGTCCAGGAAGCTCAGAGCCCAAAGAATTTGGACCTGAGAAAGCACACACCAAGACACATCACAATTACATTACCCAAGACGAAAGATAAGGAAAGAATCTTAAAGTAGCAGAACTCCATTGTAAGAGTTTCTATAAAACTCTCAGCTGATTTCTCAAAAGAGACCTTACAGGGAAGAAGAAGCTGGAAAGAAGTATTCCAAGTCATGAAAGGCAAGGACCTACATCCAAGATTGCTCTATCCAGCAAAGCTATCATTTAAAGTGGAAGGTCAGATAAAGTGCTTCCCAGACAAGGTCAAGTTAAAGGAGTTCATCATCACCAAGCCCCTATTATATGAAGTGTTAAAGGGACTTATCTAGGAGAAAGAAGATTAAAACTATGAACAGTAAAATGACAACAAACTCACACCTATCAACAACTGAAAGTAGAAAAAAACAAAAACAAAGCAAACTAGAATAGTAACAGAATCACAGAAATGGAGATCATATGAAGGGTTATCAGTGGGGAGGACAGAGGGGGAGAATGGGAGAAAAGGTAGGGAATAAGTAGCATAAAGGGTAGTTACAAAATAGACAGGAGGAGGTTAAGAATAGTATAAGAAATGGAGAAGCCAGAGAACTTATGTGTATGACCCATGGACATGAACTAAGGGTAGGGGGGAATGAGAGTAGGAGGGGGTCGCATCACGGAGAGGAATAAACAGGGGGAGAATGGGACAACTGTAATAGCATAATCAATAAAATATATTTTTAAATGTAGGGAAAAAATAAACTTGTGGTGTGCAATACAAGCAAAGGTACAACTGCATAAATAAGCCCGACTTGTTAGGACAACTCCAAGCATACTAGAGGTAAATAATAAATAACTTTGGAAAAATAGGTTGAAATCAGATTGTGAAGGGCCTTGAAGGCCAGAGTAAGCAATTTCAAGTTATTGCAGAGAATAGACTAGTGATTAGAAATCAAGTGGTTAGGGAATTAGTCTAGTACAGAAAGGCCAAAGGAGATTAATTTCAAGAAGGATAGATTACTACACACTTTAAAGGGGCCAAGAAAGAAATGGATTAACTGTTAGAAGAGTATTAATGACCTTTAAAGTAACTTTGATTAGGAGGTGAGGATAGAAACCAGTTGTAACAATGAAAGGAGAGAATTGAGGATAAAAAAAAAAATAAGCCTATGAGGCCAAGAGTTCCACAGGAAAGTTAAACAGAAGGGAACGTAATAATATGGGAGAGATTAAGGAAGCAGTAAGGCTAAGGGCAGATATATTTTTCCTAAGATGAAGAGTTACTACCTATGTGTGAAGTAAGAGAACAATGAAAAGAGATGAAGATTTTAGCATGCAAGGATACAAGATGAGAGTTAGAATTGACAGTTGAAGTGGAGAGGGAAGTCTTGCAGAGTCAAGGCAGCACTTTCTCCTCTGAAATGGAAGGGCATGACTTAACAGGGGTTTCCTTTGTATCAATGAGGGAATCAAGGTAACATTTATCTGTGTACTCGAAGTAGACTCTTATTAGAAAGAACATCAGGCCACAAAAAGTCCAAGTAACTGAAACTGCAAAAAGACAAACATAAAAGAGTTTAGCCCATCAATAGCTTCAGTAGAATCGTCAAACCAAAAAACTTTCTAGGTCCTTCTGCTGTGTGACATGTGAAGGCAGCAGTGCAAACATTCAAAGAAATGTAAAGTGCCCTTGATCTTCACCTCTCCTTCAGAAACAATCTTACAGGGTTATAAAGACTGCAGGTCCAATCCAAGGACATTATCTGTGCTCTAAGCCACCAGATAAAGAGAAAGTTGAAGGTTAAATGAATGGGTGTTTATGTGAAGATAAACACATCAAAGAAGTTAGTGGTTGTAAAAGAGCTATTCAGTTCTTTGTGAACATGCCTATTCTACATTCAAAACATGAACTCTAGAAACTTTACTGCCAAATTGCTCTTAAACCTAGCATCCACTTTTTCTCTGCCCTCTACCTCTAGGGTTCAAGGGAGCAGGTAGGGGAAGCTTCTGAGAAAAAGGATCTGGTTCCATCTGTATTTGAGCTCTGGGTTGGGAAAGAGGGAGCAGAGGGGTACGATATGCCCTCCTCCATGGCCACCTGGGACTAGGCTCATACCCCAGGAGTAATAATTCCTTGCAAGGAAAGCTGAGGCAGGTACATCTGGCTGGACTAGAGAATCCTGGGGTTTAAGGAGACCCTAGTGTACACTTGAAGAGCAGAGTAAGTGCATTTGGCGGGAGAGGGCACAGTGCTGACTGAGCATCTTTGCTTTGGAGTCTTCTCTTTCGCAGTACCTTATCTGTGCCAAGAGCTGGAAACTGGGGCTGCGGGCAGGAGGCAGAGTGTTAGCTCGAGCACTGACCCTTTGCCCTGTGGCAGGACGAGGAGTTAGGGGGATCCCTGGGCGCCTGCCAAGGACGGCCTGCCTGATCTCTGCTCCAGTCCACAAATCCTTAACAGATTTTCTTTCTCTCCCTTCACCCTTTTCTCTTCTTTGCTCTCTTTCTTTCTGTCTTCCTCTTTCTTCCTTTTCACCCCTCTTTTCCCCCTCCCTCCCCATCCCCTTCCCTTCCTCTCCCATCCCCCTCTCCCCTCCCCCTTTCTATGTGTGTGAGCCTCTTCATTCCCCCTCCTCCCCCTTTCCGCCTCTCTCCCTCTCTCTCTCTCCATCTCCTTCTCCCTCTCAGCTCGCCGGGCGACCCTGCTTCTGCCTCCCACATTAATGGCGGCATCTTCGGAGGATGATATAGACCGGCGGCCCATCAGAAGAGTCCGCTCCAAGAGCGACACACCATACCTTGCAGAGGCCAGGATTTCCTTTAACCTCGGAGCAGGTAAGGACGACCCTCTCTCCTCACTCTCTCCCCACCACGCTTCCTTCTCTACCTTTCCTCCTGGCCGGCTGGCTCAGCCCCCTACCCCGCCTTGGTCTCCCTCTTCTGGCTGTGCCCCCCACTCCCGCCCCCTTTCTGCCCAGCCCAGCGCTGGCGCTCGCTCACTCGTTCTCTTTGTGTTGCTGGTGTGAGGAGGGTGTGTGTATGTGTGTGTGCGCGTGTGCACGCGCGCTGCGGAGGTGAGGGAGGGTAGTGCCTGGAGCCCTACATTTGCCCAAGAGTCACATGCGGGCTTTCTCCTTCTTGAAGAGAAGAGAGTATAGTCACTGATAACAATGACCGTAGGAATAAGCAAGAGCTGGGTTCGCTGGCTGTGCGTTGCGCTGGTGAGACTTGCTAGCGAGGCTACTACGGGGTGGGTGGAACTTGTTGGTGACATTGAGACTGGTGATTTTGCCGGGTTGATACCACTGCTGTAGTGTTGGAGTGGGGAGAGGGGGGTGGGGTTGACAGCTGGGAACAGGACCTTTTTCTTGGACCAACCAGTTGGCAAGCAACCATTGTGATCATAATAATAATAACATGGTGTATAGAATACATGTTAGGTGATTGAAGGGGAACTGGTGCTCAAAGTGACTCAGATGAAATTGAGTGAAAAGGGTAATTGAGGTAGAGAGGAGGGCAGGAGGGAGAGTGGGAGGGAAGAAGACAGGAGGAGAATGAAGGAGGGAAGGAAGGAAGGAAGGGAGGGAGAAAAAGAGCAAGCACAAAGGGATTCAGAGAGTCAAACTGCTTCAGCTGAGACCTCTTAGGGTTACCTGAGAAGCACCCACTGTCTGCTGTCCCCACTGCTGCCACTGCTCCAGATTCACAGGCAGGCCACACCCCCAATAACTAGTAGACGTTCACTATCACTGGGAAGAAGTTGTTCACGACTAACTTCAGAGTGCTGCCTTTTCTGAATGACTCCTAAGCCTCCACCCTAGCTTGCATCTCTTGCTGTTTAGGGTCCCTTGGTATTCTAGTTACTCCAATGCAAAAAGAGTGAGTGTATTTTCCTGAAGACCCTCTTTCAAAGTAAGTTTCAAAAGCAGGTGGTACCTTTTTTCTCTAGGAAACTAAATCCTTGGAAATCAACTGACTCAAAGTATGTGTGTGTGTGTGTGTATGTGTGCACACACTGCAGCAAAGAGAACCTTCAAATTATGAGTACTTTACACACTATCAAGAAATTTGGACCAAAAAAAACCCCTCTGCATGTTATAGAGAAACAAGATGTGATCACTAGGCAACCATATCTTTATGACTGGAAGGGTGGCAACTGGATGTGCCAAAGTTTCTTAAAGTATAATTTTCCTGTCTTGTAATTTTGGTTTTCTAATCATACATTTCCTTGTCACTCCTGAAATGTTTTTCTCTGGATTTGGTGCTGGGGAGAAGAGGACTCCATTGGAGGGAAGCTTTGGCACTTTCTGTGGTATGCTGTAGTAGCCTATGGTGTCACTTTGGAACTGTTAATCCTCTATTTGTATGTTCCAGATTCAGAGTAATGTGAGGGGTCTTAAAAGGGACTGAGAGGAGTATTTTCAGGACTAAGATTGTGTGTGCAGCCATATGATATTGGGACTTCTTCTGTTGATCCCTTTGCTATCAAACTCTGGTATATCCCCTTAGTGGCTTCAGCTAGCACGGGGGAAAGGGACCGAAGTAGCAGTTAGTAAATGCTGTTTACCCCCTACTTGTACTTTCACAACAAAAAATAAAACACTAAAAAGAGTTTCACGTTTCAGCTACTACTGACTTGCATTGAAACATCTTGCGATTAAATTGCTCTGGAGGCCAGTTAAAAGAACAGACTTTTCTGAAAGGATGTGTCTCCCTTACACCTGGAAAAAAAAAAAAGCCAAACAAGCTCCCAGTCCCCTCCATCTGTCCCCAGGAATACTGCTAAAAGCGGTGTCCAGGAAGACACCAGTGAAAAGAGAAATGCCGTGGGGAGGATGGTAGGGTAATAAAGGAGGCAGGGCAGTGCCTACTGGAGCTGTCCTTGGTTTAGGGGAGCTGTCCTTCCTTGCTGGTGCTGAACAGAGCTTTTCGACGGAGATGTGACTCTAAGCTTGATGGTGGAGGGAGGGATGCTCCGTCTCTGTCTCCGTGATGGAATTCCCCGGGACCGCAGAAGATCTGGTCACCAAAAACTTTTCTATCCCTGCCCACTTAATGTTTGTCGCATGCTTACTATGCCTCACGCCTATTGCTCCACTGCTCAAATCAGGCGGTTTTGCTCTAATTTTGCACAGGCTGCTCACTCCTGGAGCTTTATTTTCCAGCTGGTTTCTGGTGGCTTTCCTCACATAGTAAAATCTACTTACAGATGTTCCTGTCCTCGGCATCTAAAAGTAATTGTAACCCCCAGTTTTAAAAGCAAACAGCCTTGTTTATCTCCTTGAGCAGCAAGTTGTAATTAAACTATTAGTGTCCTTATCACTGTTGCTCAACAGAGGAGCCTGCACACTCTGGATAAACTACATAATTTGGGCATAGAGAGAATTTTGTCTCTGAACAACAATTTAAAATCAATTAAGCAAAGAAGCTTTCATCTGCCCTTTCTTCCCACTCCCCTCCTATTCCTACCCCCATCGTTTATTATTTAGTCTTTCCAGAACATTTTTATTGGTTTAAACTATTTACATTTAGTCTTTGCTTTCTCACATCAACTCATTATAAACAAGTCCATGTTTGATGTTTTATAGGCTTAATAATGCTTCAAGGAAATAAATATACATATACTCATTTTACTTGCATATCATGAAATCCTTTGGGGTACCAACTCCCTTAAGCTAATGTTTACAGTTGCCAAGTAAAGTGAACCAGGCATTTGAATACTGATTAAATACTTAAGGATTTCTTAACTTTACCCTGTCCCTGATACTTAGGAATATCATGTTAGAAATAACTACATTCCTTGAGTGAAGGATATATTCATTCACCTACAGTCCCAAGTCAGTCAAAGGATAGCATGAAAATGTGGGTATTTAATAAATTTATGATGTTAATTTTAAGATTAAGTCTAAGTTGAGACAGAGAAATTCACTTTTCTGAATCATCACTTATTTTTCTAAAAGAGCCCCCTTTTTAGGTTTTCAACTTCTATTTGGCATTCAGTATATTATGCAAATATTGATAGATACTTGTTTGCTGAAGATAGTATACCAGTATATGCTAGAGAAAATCAGTCCAATGTATTTGCTGAGAGTTACCTAGACATGTCAGACTTCATTTAAAACATTGGAAGAGTTTTGAGAATTCCAAATGTATTAAAAGGACATTGTGTGAGAGAAGAGGATGGTCACACCATTAGTAGCAAGTGTTTCTAATTGTGCTCTCACTTAGTAATGAACATCACTGATATTTTGTTTGCAGAGCTTCCTCTGCTTTATGAGGTCATTTTTTCACTGCATTAAAGGGAATGCAATGAAGAATTGCAGCTCATCTGGCAGATATTTTCCTATGGGCCAGTATATCCTATTTTTCATTGGATTGGAGGTATATAGAAGAGTATTCAGTACATAGAATGTGCTGAAACTGAAAAGTTCTCTGAAAGTACACACTAAAATGAATGAAAGGTTATAGTAAACAGAAGATTTAAGCACATCTAAAATTTCTTAAAGGTATTTCCAAACAAGGAAGACTAATCATCCTGATGATTTAGGCTTATTTAAAACACAAATAATACTGGCCATGTTTGAGAAGAGTAAGTACTCTTCTAATCATAAGTAAGCTTAACCTTTATTGACACTTCATAATGGCTTTGTATGCTCAACCTTGGCATACTTACCTTCCTTGGAAGGCTGAAATTTGTTTTAGTTCCTAATGTCACCCAAGTGTAGCTGTTTCTTCCATTGGTCTATTCAACTCTTTTAGGCCCACAGAATAATCGCAGGGAAAATTGGCTTGCCCTGGCTATCTGTAAGAATGAATGGGTCAGCCAGATTAAGTTATAAACTGAATCTCAGGAGATCTCTTTCCTACTTTTCTTGAGGAGAAAGACCTTAATTCCTTAGCTAAATTGTGAAGGCCCATGATATTGAGAAGTGATAGTCCATGATGTGCTATCATTATTTAGCAATGAGAACTGTTCCTAGGAAAAATTGTGAATGTTGTCATGGTGAACTAAGATTGTTTCACCAGCCTAAAGGTCTTGGTAAGCCTTCTTGTTCATTCTTTCACTGAAAAATGTCAATGTATCCCTCACAATATCTGTTGTTGGTACTGTTTTCAAATGTGGATCACGTGGGTCTGGCTTTTATTTCATGGGCTCAAAATCTTCTTTTAAGTATTGCTCTTACATTAAGTAGCCATAATAATCCAAGTGGCTGACCTTGTAGATGACCAGGAGTTCCTACTACGGGGCTTTCTGACGGTCTGCCTTCCATTTGTACCATTCATTGTTAAAGCTAGCTAACCTGATAATCTCATTTTGCCATGCATTCAGGTGGTACCCGTGAAGACCACTCCAGATAACATAAATAATATAAATAAACCAGAGGGACATAAGTAATTAACACTGTGAGGAAATGGTCATCCCTTTGCTACAAATATATAATCATAAATGTATAACATGTAAACCATGTCATTTTTTCAACAACAATTTATACATTTATGAGACAAACACAAATTCTGTATTGAGTGGTTAAATTTACTTAGGATATTTTGCCTGGAGATTATTAATTTCTTACCATCTAAGTACTGTATTTACTATTTTGTTAAGATTAAAGGATAAATTACTTGTTTGTTTTGTCTGTATGTGTCCATATTATTTAATTTCATAGAAAACCACAGTGGTGTATTTTGGATAGGAAATGTGAGGCAAGCATCAGAACTTTATTTTAGTGCATCTTTTCCACTATGATGGTGGACAAGTCGTTTAACTTCTTGGGATTTGATTTTCTCAGCTCTAAGAAGGATCTGGAATTTAAAATCTCTCTCTCTTTTTTTAA